CGCACGACGTGGGACCTGATGACCGCGGTCGGCACGTGCGCCAGGTGCTCAGATCTGCGGCGTTGTTCTGTCTGGCAGGGCAGCTTGCGCCAGCTGGCCCTGCCGCAGGCGTGCGAATTGGCCGAAGCCGCTGACGTGAGAGATGGCGATCCGCTGATCGTTGGGAACCGCGAGCTGGCCCACCGGCGGGGCTGCGGCGCCCGCGCTGCGCTGCCGGTCGATGGGGGTCGTCTCGCGGGGGCCCCGCAGAGCTGCAGCCCTCCGTGATGCGCAGGCAAAAGGACAGGCTCCGTCGGCGGCTGCTGCCGGCTCCGCGGCGGCGGCGGCCGCGCCGTTGAACGGCGGCAGCGCTGGCATTTGGAGCGGCCCTGAAGTTGGCGCTGCGCTGTCGAACGCCAGAAGTGGCGGCAGGACAGCGGGTGCATCGGCGCGCGCGTGGCTCCGGGCCGCGGCAGAGCGGGGCCGCTGACTGCGAGCCGTGGACAGATCCAGGCAGCTGCCGGGAGCCGTCGGCGGATGGCTGCGCCGGCGTTGCGAGCTGGCTGCGGTCTCAGAGGACCCTTAATGACCACGATGGCACGTCCAACGATCCTGGTTCGAGGGCCGGCGTCAAAGGTGCCATCTGTGGGCCCCGAGTACGCGCGGCCTCCGAACTGGCCGCCGCTGCCGCTGCGACGCGGTGCCCTGCGCGCACTCCGCGCGGAAAGGGTGCTCGCCCCCGCAGGTGCTACGCGTCGCGGCGTTTCCGTCGTAGCTTGGCGGATTGCGGCGTCCACGCTTCCCTCTGCCAGGCGAGCGCTTGCCTACTGTTCTGTCCTTCTCCGCCGAAGAAGACCGGACCTACTTGGTTGGGACATGCGTAAAGGTGGCAAGCTGTGCCTTTTTTCCGTTAAAATTCCTGGGGAGCGCGCTGTTGCCCTTCTAGATAAACCTGCGTACCCTACGAGAAAGACGTCGCATGTCTCTGCGTCTGCACCACTTTTGTTTAGCAGTCATCATCTGCCAGGACAGATGAGCATTTATCTGGGCAGGACTAAGACCGTGGAGCTCTGCCGGGCTCTGCCGCTTGGCAATTGACTTCTCCGCCTGGGTCTGGGCGCCGGTCCGAGGAGGCGCAGTCGGCTCCGTCCGCGGGCGCCCGCGTGGCGGCGGGGTAGGTTGCCCGCGGCGACGCGGCACTCTGCGACGGGCCAGCAGCATGCGTCACGGCACATCCCGCGCCAGGAAGCTCGGCGGGGCTGGCAAGCTAGGGGTCGAGAGCTCGGGCGTGCCAGGGGTCCGCTGCGCGCGCGTCGTTGCTGTTGTCATTGGTTATGCCGACGAAGCCTCCGAACGATGGCGGCGTGCGAAGAGCACTGGCGATGTTGTTTGGTGCGTGTTCCACGATATTATCCACGCGCCTGAGCATAGTCGTGAGCTTCTTGAACTCGGCCTCAATGGCTGTGCATCGGTTGCCGTAGGGCTGGGGCAGCGTCGTGTGTTGGCTAGCTATGACGCCGACCGCTCGAAGGAGCAGCCAACTGTAGACTCCTCCAGACATCGCACTTCCACCGTTGCGCGTAGCTCGGAATCGCAGCGTAAGAAGCCGCGTCAGCAATGCGTCGTTGGTTTCGTTGCGTCGCCTCGAAAACTTACAGAGTTCGCGGGAAGCCTAGAGGGGCGACTCCTCGCCTCGTGGACCGAACTGCGTGGCGAGGTTCGCGATGAGGTAGGTCGCGGCATCCTCTTGCTGGCCGTTGACCATGCCTCCCTCTCTCATGTCCGTGAAGTTCATGGAGGGCGTGAGCCCGCGAGCGGCCCCACCGAAACTAAGGATGCCGGCGGTGCGCTGTTGGGCGCTATCCATGTTGATGCCTAGCACGCTCCAAGCGAGCAGGTCCTGTACTCAAGAATGGAAGAAACACATGGACTCGCGTTTGGGTGGCTGTGAGGGCGGCTGGCGAAAAGAAGCCGCACCGCGGCCGCCGCCGCCATGTGGGCCAGCTCCACCAAGCATCGCGCCAGCGAGCCAGAACAGGACGGCCACCAAGAACACGAGGATGCTGCCCCAAAGCGTCAAGATGAATATCCTCCTCCATAAACCCCCATCGCGATGATGAGTGCGGAAGCGTCTTGGGACTTGAGCCTGCGCACGGACGAACGCCATGTCGAAGTACGGGGCAACTATGATGACACCGTCAACCTTGGTCGAAGCCGAAGCCGGTGAGAGTGAAACGTTGGCTTTCAGTGTTCCACCCCTCGCAATCATGCCCAAAGCAAAACTGCGGCCAGTGCCTGCGGGGTTGCGACGGGTCGAGTGACGTCGTGGCTTTCCCGTGGGCGATACTCAAGGAATGGAGGGTGGTACCGATGCGGAAATGAAGGTAAGTGCGAATGTGCGTCCACACCGCACTGTGCGCACGTTCCGTGGATCGCGAGCCAGTGTCGGTCCCAGCTCCGCTTCCACTGGAATTGCGGGGGTTGGAAGCTGCACGAAAGAAAACACGGCGGCAATAACATGTTGATTTGCATGGTTATAGTATCCGTGCAACATACAGGTATGCGCCGGCGCTTGGGCCAAATAGCGGCGGCCCCTCCGATTTGACTGACGAGGACGGCGACGATGGGGACGACGACGACGACGACGACGAAAGCGACGACGACAACCGACGATCGGGCACACGCCAACATGGTTTGGGGATCCATGGACCTGGCGAATGGGTGCTGGATCCAAGGATCGCGGAAGCTACACCCGAAGCATGAATGGCGACAGAACGCGCCGATTACGCACGGAAGTTGGACCCGTTACTAATCCACGCGCCCGAATCCATGCGTGCGCCTCCTCGAAACTCGGAGACGGGCGAGGAAACTCAAAATCGGCCCGAAATCGGTCCCCAGAACCCCCTCCGGGGTCCAGACGCACAAGTTTTTTCCAAGCCGCGCCCAGCCGTGGCGTCGTGGGGGCCCCCCGAAAGCCAAATACCAGGTTCTCACACGGCCCTCCGATGAGACACGAAATGGGCGCTCACAACGGGGTACGGGGAGGGGGGAAGGCTTCTTGGAGAGAGGCTGAAACATCGAGCCTGGAGCCCTAGACCCTATCTTTCTGCGCCATTTTTCAAACCAGATCGATCTGTGAGGGTCCCAGGGCCCGAAATTATGTGGGAACGCCCGGCTCGAAACACATTTTCCGGGCGAAGGACCCAACCATATGCAGTTGTGGGTACCACAAGTGTGAAATGTTTTCTTCGGTGGAGCTCCCTATGGGGCCACGAAGCACTGCACTGGGCGGGGGGAAACGCATGCGGGCGGTAGCACTGGGGCCTTCAGTGGTGCTGCCTATGGGGCCACGAAGCGCTGTATTGGGTAGGGGGGACGCATGCGGGCGGTAGCACTGGGGCCGTCGGTGGAGCTCCCTCTGAGGCCACGAAGCGCTGTACTGGGTGGGGGGGACGCATGCGGGCGGCAGCACTGGGGCTGTCGGTGGAGCCCCCTACGGGGCCACGAAACGCTGCACTGGGTGGGGGTTGTTCATGCGGGCAGTAGCACTGGGGCCGTCGGTGGAGCCCCGTACGGGGCCACGAAGCGCTGTAATGGGGGGGGACGCATGCGGCCCGTAGCACTAGGGCCTTCGGTGGAGCTCCCTATGGGCCACGAAGCGTGTGATGGGGTGTGCCGAAAATGGAGGTGGGGGACGCATGCGGGCGGTGGCACTGGGGCCTTCGGTGGAGCCCCTTTATGGGTCCGCGAGACGTGTGACGTGTGACGTGTGACGTGTGACGTGTGTGTGTGTGTGTGTGTGTGTGTGTGTGTACGTGTGTGTGTGTGTGTGTTAGTGCGTGTTAGTGTTAGTGTTAGTGTTAGTGTTAGTGTTAGTGTTAGTGTTAGTGTTAGTGTAGTGGTAGTGTAGTGTTAGTGTTAGTGTTAGTGTTAGTGTTAGTGTTAGTGTTAGTGTTAGTGTTAGTGTTAGTGTTAGTGTTAGTGTTAGTGTTAGTGTTAGTGTTAGTGTTAGTGTTAGTGTTAGTGTTAGTGTTAGTGTTAGTGTTAGTGTTAGTGTTAGTGTTAGTGTTAGTGTTAGTGTTAGTGTGTGTGTGTGTGTGTTGGGGGGGGGGGAGGGCGTGTGCGTGTGCGTGTGTGTGCGCGTGCGCGTGCGCGTGCGCATGCGCGTGAGCGTGCGCGTGCGCGTGCGCGTGCGCGCGCGCGTGCGCGCGTGCGGTCGGTCGGTCGGTCGGTCGGTCGGTCGGTCGGTCGGTGTGTGTGTGTGTGTGTGTGCGTGTGTGTGTGTGTGTGTGTGGTGGGGTGGGGGGGGGAAGGGGGGGGACGCAGGCGCATGCGGGCGGTGCCACGAAACATGCGACGGGTGTGCCACATTCGGTACGGGGGACGCGTGCGGGCGGCCCCACTGGGAGCTTCGGTGGGGCTCCCTATGGGGCCACGAATCGCTGTACTGGGTGGGTGATGCCAAATTCGGTGCCGGGGACGCGTGCGGGCGGCCCCGAGCTTCGGTGGAGCTCCCTATGAGGCCACGAAGCGCTGCACCGGGTGTGCGAAAATGTCAAATTGAGCGTGTGGGACGCATGCGGGCGGTCCCACTGGGGGCTTCGATGGAGCTCCCCATGTGGCCACGAATCGCTGTATTGGGCGGGTGAAAATGCCAAGATGGATGTGGGGGGGGACGCATGCGGGCGGTCCCACTTCGGTGGGGTTCCCTATGGGGCCACGAAAAAATGTACTGGGAAATGCAGGGAGGAGGGAGGAGGGGGCCATGAACGCTGGGTGTGCGGGGCGCATGCGGGCGGTCCCACTGGGACCTTCGGTGGGGCTCCCTACGGGGCCAAGAAATGCTGCAGTGCATGGGCGAAACGCAAGGGAGGAGGGAGGAGGGGGAGGAGGGGGAGGAGGAAGGTGAGGAGGAGAAGAGGAGAACGCGGGGCACCGTCTCTTCAAAACGAGGGCCCAACACAACAGGATGGTTGGGAATGAGTCGCCAGGATCTCGGGGACGACCCACGGCGAGGCCGCCTCGTCCAGGCCTCGTCCGCGGCGCGGCAGCAGCAGCAGCGCGGGGAAGCGCCCGTTGGCCGCGCGCGCCCGGCGCTGCGGCCTGGCCTCGGCCCCGAGCCGGGAGGCTCGGCGCGGCCGCGACCCCGGGCTCGGGCACGCAGGGCGCACCCCGGGCACGCAGCAGCAAGAGCGGTACAGTCAGCCCGTAGAGTAAGAATGCGCGGTAAGGATGCAGTGGTACCCTTGGCTGGGCGGCCCCTCCTTACTATTCGGGTTAACTGCAACGATAATCCAAATCCCACCAGCCCTTTGGGCGTGAGTGGTTTAGCGAGCCCCCTCTGTCCTCAACCCCCCTTTTTCCCCTTCGGGGAGGGGTTTACCCCTCCCCCTACCCCCTCCCCCTGGGCCTGGAGAGGGCGCCCCGCGGGTCGTCAGGGGGGTCAATTTCGACTCCTGGGAGGGCTAAAAAACGACGACCCTCACGAGGATTCTGGCCCCGACGGGGGGCCGGAGAAAAAACCCTCCCCTCTTCTTTGAAGCCAAAAACATTGATTTTACTACGGTTTCGGCCCCATTTTGGCCTTCTAAGGGGGCAGCGCTCCCCTTCCTTCATAGCAAAATCATTGATTTTACGAAGGTTTTGGCTTCATTTTGTCCTTCTCAGGGGGCATCGCTCATTTGCGCTTCTGAGGAGGTCGCAAGAGGCCCCAAGATGGCCCCAAGAGGCCCCCAGGAGGCTCCCAAGAGGCCTCCAAGAGGCCCCCAAGAGGCCTCCAAGGGGCCCCAAGAGGCCCCCAAGAGGCCCCCAAGAGGCCCCCAAGAGGCCCCCAAGAGGACCCAAGAGGCTCCAAGAGGCCCCCAAGAGGCCCCACGAGGAGCCCGAACGACTCACACCAGGACGAGGGGCCCGAACGACTCACACCACGAAGAGCCCGAACGACTCACACCACAAGGAGGGGCCCGAACGACTCACACCAGGACGAGGCGCCCGAACGACTCACACCACGAGGAGCCCGAACGACTCACACCACGACGCGGGCCCCGAACGACTCACACCACGAGGAGCCCCGAGTCACACCACGACGAACGACTCACACCCGAGGGGCCCGAACGAGTCACACCACGAGAAGCCCGAACGACTCACACCAGGACGAAGAGCCCGAACGACTCACACCACGAAGAGCCCGAACGACTCACACCAGGAAGAAGGGCCCGAACGACTCACACCAGGACGAGAAACCCCAAACGACTCAAATCACGAGGAGCGCTTTCTCTCCCTCCTCCTCCGCCTCGTCCTGCCCCCGCTCCCCCCAAAAGGAGGATGTACAAGGAGGCGGGAGGAAGGAGGAACAGGGGAGATATGCGGGCCCAAGCGGACGCACGCCTGAAAAACACGACTGTCGGCATGCTTCGCAAGAGTTGCTGCTGTGAAATGGGCTGGTGGGGATACGCGAAGCGTAAAGAATTTCGCAATGAAAAGGAAGGGACCACAGCCCTCCCAGACGAGCAGCCATGAGAGGGCGGCCTGCTGCCCAGACCCCACTGGAACCTCCAAGGCAGCTCCAAGCGGACCCCCCCCAATCGGACCGCCCCCCTTTCTGTTATGAAATCCGGAATAGCGATAGCGACAACAACGGTAACGGCAGCAACGATAACGATCGAAAGCGATCAATGCATTTGTGCCGCTGTGCTCAGTGGAGAGAATGCGTGGCACGAAGCAAGAGCGGGCTCGCCGTTGACTTTGTGAGACGCTGCTATCGTTGTCGTTGGTCGTTGGACGCTGGAGGCGCACACGTGGCCAGGCTCATCTGGAGCCTGTAGAGGCCCAGCGCGCTGGATACATACTGTTGCTCCCCATCCAACTGGTCCAACACAGCGATCGATCAGGGAGGCCGCTGACGCGAATTACCACCAAGGCTTGTCGAGGGGGGGCGCTATACGCCCAGTGCGGTCTAGCACTAGGGAGTCGCTTGCTTAACTCCATTCAGGAGGCGCCTTGTCTAGCAAAGGGCGGTGCACGGCAGAGGGGCATGTTCAGCACCAAAAGTTCTTGTTCAATCAACTTGGGGAGGGGGCTCGCCTAGCAGAGGGCAGTGCACAAGCAGAGGGGCCCGTTCAGCACCGAAGACTTTAAACAGCACGTCGTAGCGGGGAAGAGGCCTGCACATGAGAAGGCGATGCGCAGCAGAAGGCGCGTCCAACACCAACGATGTTTCAACAAACTTTGGGAGGGGCCTCGTCCGGCAGAGGACGACGCACAGCACGCCAGGGGTTATTTTGAAATCGACTCGGGGAGGGGTCTCGTCTAGGAGAGCGCGGTGCAAGCAGAGGGGCACGTCTGGGTCCATACGGGGGTCTTCTTAAACAACTTGGGGAGGGGCCTCGTCTAGCAGAGGGCGGCGCACAGGCGTGGGGCGCGCCCAGCGCCGACAGCAGGAGCAGTAGGAGCAGCAGCATGAACGGCAGCGGGGGGAGGAGTATGATGAGGAGGAGGCGAAGGGAGGAGAGGAGGACGAAGAGGAGATAGAGGCTGATAAAGAGCGCGCGCGTTAGACCGCGGACCGCAATCGAGAGACAGGGAGAAAGAGGTGCCAGTTCCCGTCTCCTCGCTCCTTCTGGTTCAGTTTCCCCCCTCCCCCTCACCCTCATTCGGATCTCGCCAAAGGGAATTTCTGGGCCGCACAAACTGAGCTCCTCCCCCCTTGGATTAAGCCGCCGCCTAGTCAGTCTGTTGCTTTTTCTCTCCTCGGCCAGGTGTGTGGCCTGCGCCCGCGCGAGAGCACAAGTCCCAACCAGGGGCGCGACAGGCGCTCAGGCGAGAGCGATAGCTTATGGGTGGAAATAGTCGCATCAGAGTCGATCCCCAGGAGCTCCTCGTGGGCCGTCTTGGATCCCAGCTTGGGCCATCTTGGGGCTCTTTTGCTCCATGTAGGCCAGCTTGAGGGCGTTGGGACCGTTTCGGCGGTCTCTTAGTCCGCATGTGCCCCACGTTGCGCCGCCCTGAACTTCTCCGGGAGCCTCTTACGCGATCTTGAGTGAGCCCCTGGAGGATCCATGATGACTCACGCAGGCCGCAATGTAGCACAACGATTGCCCAATATATTCAGATTCAGACCCATCGCGAAGCGATGCATCACTCTTGACGCTGACCTTCTCCGAGCCCGCGGCGAAAAGGAAGGACTCGACGACGAACTCTGGATATGACAGCGCTGAGAGAAACATGTCGAAGGGCATGACCATGCGACCTGACGGCTGAAGCTTACGTAACACGTGGATACCGTAAACGAGTACCTCCAATACGCCACACCCCAGAATGAACCAGAGATCGCAACGTTGTTCACTCCCTCAGCCAATCTCTGCAAACCTGAAAAGTAAAACGCAACTTGACTTGAAGAAACGGCAATTGCCTCACACGGAGCTTCGTCGCAGAGAACACTGACCGACCCTAGCGGATACGAATAAAATCTCTTGGTGCCGTTGCAAAGAGCGGCTGGGAACACGCCAAAATTGGATAACAGCCAAATCCACCATCCACCCACATGAGGCGTTAAGTAGCTTCTGCACAGCCTCCCACGCCATGCCACGCACATCGAATGGAATCCGCCGCCAGCATAATGACCAATATGAGTGGTGCGCCTCCGCGATGGCCACCCAATGAGAGAGCAAAAGAGCCGCCTGAAGTACAAAGATGGGAATTGACCTATCAAGCTAAATTCGAACGAACAGCCGCCGCCATAGCCGCCACCAGAAGCAACTGAAATACCCTCCCCTGGCGGAGATGGGAGACCCCAGCATTATAGCTGATGATGCCTGGCTCCAGCTGGACGTGCGAAAAATTGAGGCCCCAGCACCAGAAACCGAACAACATACCACGGGGCCGAGAGAAAGAGAGAGAGAGAGAGAGAGAGAGAGAGAGAGAGAGAGAAAACGAGAGAAAGAGAGAGAGAGAGAGAGAGAGAGAGAGAGAGAGAGAGAGAGAGAGAGAGAGAGAGAGAGAGAGAGATAGAGATAGAGATAGAGAGAGAGAGAGATAGAGAGAGAGAGAGAGAGAGAAAGAGACAGAGAGAGAGAGAGAGAAATAAAACGATATGAGGGAGGACAACGAGGCGATACGAAGAACACAAAAGATGGCAATGGGCGAAAGAGAGGAGGATGTGGAGGAGAAGGAGGAGGAGGAGAAGGAGGACAGGAGGGAGGAGGATGAATACGTTGACATTGGGGAAGAAGGATGGACGAGAGAGATGGGGGCGCAGTGCGACAGGAGGATAACGACAAGGAGGGTGAGAGAGGAGAAGGAAACGAGGAGGAGGAGGCGCCGAAAGAGGAGAGTGACGCAGAGCAGGGGGTGGACGAGGAGGAGGAGGGGCAGGCAGAGGCGGGGGCGGATGAAATTTAGTTGCAGGGATGGGATGGAATGCCTATGTGCCAAGGGCATGCGGGATGAAGGAGGCGCGGACACTGGGAAAGAAAACAGGTGACATATTTACAGGGAGAGACAAGGGATGAGAACGGGAGGGGGAAATGATGATCAGGAGAAGGATGATGAGGAGGACGAGGAGAATCGGAATCCGAAGGAGAGGAAAGAGATTATGAGGGGAGGTGGGGGAGGGGGAGGAGGAGGGAGGAGGCGGAGGAGGATGAGCAGGAGGACGGGGAGGAGGAGCCCCACCCTGCTGAGTCCTGCTGGTCCGCGGCCTAGCGGAGCAGGCCCTGCAGCTTAGGCGAGCGCCTGACAGACGCACGAAACCTGCCTTGGATTACTTGCTGAGCGAAAAGCTGAGAGGCCGCGCGGGGGAGGAGCAAGCACAGAGCTTGGAAAGGAAGGAATGGGAACGTGCGCCTAAAAGCTAGAGATAACTAAGACAGAGCATCGGGGCCCGAGCGAATCATGAAAAAAGGTGGGTGGGGGTGTGGGGTGTGGGGTTGGTGCGACGGTGGTGGTCGCGTGGCGAGCGGTGGTGTGACGCCGCGGCCGCCCGGAGGGGGGGGGGGGGGGGGGGGGGGGGGGGGGGGGGGGGGGGGGAGGGTGCAGCGACGCGTGTAGTGTGTGTGTGTGGTGTGCGTGTGTGCGGCGGTGTGTGTGTGTGTGTGTGTGTGTGTGTGTGTTGCCTGTGTGTGTGTGTGATGTGTGTGTGGCGTCGTGGGTGTGGTGTTGTGTGTGGTATGGCGTGCTGTGTGTGTGTGTGTGCAGTGCGTGCGGGTGTGTGTGTGCACGCCCGCGCAGCGTGTGGTGTGTGTCACGACACGCGTGGTGTCTGGTGTGTGTGTGTGTAGTGGTGGTGGCGTGTGTGCGTTGGGTGTAGTGTGTGTCGTGTGTGTGGGCGTGTTGTGTGTGGTGTGTGAGAGTGTGTTGTTGTTTGTGTGTGTGTGTGTGTGTGTGTGTGTGCGTGTGTGTGTGTGTGTGTGTGTTGTGTGTGTGTGTGTGTGTGTCTGTGTGTGTTGTGGTGCATGTGTGTGTGTGGTGTTTGTAGTGTGTGTGATGTGTGTGCGTGTGTGTGTGTTGTGGTGTGGGTGGTGGTGGTGGCGCGGGGGGGGGGGGGGGGGGGGGGGGGGGGGGGGGAACTCAGGGGATCTTCACCGTAATCACCTGGAAGTGCAGGGAGGAGGTGCCGAAGGACAGGACGGCATACACCGCAACTCAAATAATGAAGGACATCATCACCTCCGACGCATGAGTAGCCGAATACACATCGGCCTGGCCCTTGTCTGTAACGTATTGTTGTGTTCCAGCTGTTGAATATTGTTTTAGGAGCCCGAACTTTGCGACGGCGCTCTCCATCTTGCCAGGGTCAGTGAGGATTATCACACACTTGGCAACGTTCAACAGCAAGCCCGAGGAGAAGCCAAAGCGAACGATTGCCCTGGCCACATGGCCTAGTGCAGAGAAAATGTCCGCCGCGACCAGGCCGAGGTCGTCAGCGAACGCAGAGACTTGCTTCGGCAAGTCGGTGGGAATCAGGTTGATATAGCGTAGCGGTGGATCAAGACATAGAACGAATAGAATACCAGAAAGTGGGCAACCTTGTTTAACTCCTCGGAGGGCCGTGAAGGAGACCTTGGGAGAGCCTTTGAATTCAATCCAACAGTGCATGTTCTGATATAGGGTCATAATCGCTAGGATGATAAATTCAGGGAACTGATAGGCACGCATAACTTTCCAGATCCACTCATGCAGCACTGACGGAAAGGCAGCGCGAAAGTCATAGAGACATGCACCGAAGTCTCTATGCCCAAGAACAGACCTCCAGTGCATCATGTTAAAGTCTACCTCTAGCACGTTGTCCATGATATTCCTACCTTTGATTAATCCCCTCTGCGACGAATGACCCCGATCCGCGATAACCTGGGAAATCGGCGAAGCGATCAGCGACGAGACGAGCTTGTTATCGGTGTTGGATAAAGCGATCGGTCGAGTTTCGTCGGCCCCGTTCAGAACGTTCTCGGGATCATCAATCTCGCCCTTCGCCAGGAAAACTAGCTTGGCAGCGTTGAACTGGCTGCTCACGCGACCGCCGTCGAGCACATGCTCGTAGAGCTCGAACAGCGCCTCCTGGGCAACGGGACCAGCAGCTCTCCAAGCGCTGTAGCACAAGCCGCCAGGTCCTGGGGCAGAATCCTTCTTCCTGTGCAGGAGGTCGAGGAACTGATCAAACGTTTTTTCCAGGGAAATCTCTGATGGGTCGAGATCGTGCATTGGTACCCGTCGGGGTCCATGAGGGGAACCAGCTCCAGATATTGGCCCCCAGGATCCGCGGTGCCCGCCCGAGCGCCAAAGACAGAGCCCCAATGAGAGCAGAGCAGCTGCGCGCGCACCGAGGGCTCAGTATGGGCGAATCTGTTCTGGTCAACAATTCCTCCGAGGCAAATTGTACGCTGTTTGTGTTTCCATGCTTTGGCCAACCTCCTAATCCTCATCAAGTGAAAATCTGCGTTGTGCGGGAGGTTGCCCTCAGGGTCCCTGAGGTTCTCCTCTAGCGCTGCCAACTCTTGATTCATGAGGGAGGTGAGGTGAGCGTGAAATTCATGCCAATCATTCCAAATCATGTTGTCATGGTCGAAGAAGGAGGAGAGGATAGGGTAGGCACGAACGGCACCGGCTGCCGCTTTGCAAAGCCCAGACCTGCGGGCGCGGATGAGTCTGAGACAGCACGCTAATTTCTCGGCCAACGTGTTGGCGGATGTCTTATAGAGGAAAAAGAACTATGCACATGCACCGATTCTGGCCAGGCCCATCCTGAGCCCAGGATCGGTGCATACGCCCTCCTACCTTGGCCAGGAAGGCATGTGCACCGATCCTGGGTCAAAGATGGGCCTTGCCAGGATCGGTGCATGTGCATAGTTCTCTTCGCCCGATCTTAAACATATCGGCCTTGGCGCGGTTGCCAGCAGCGATGATCAGCAGCTTGATCTCCTCAAGCTTCTCGGCTGGGTCAGGACTGAATTCTTGACCTTCTGCGCGGTCTTCAAAGTACTTGACAAACGCGTGCCGCTTGAACACCCACGGAGGAAGAGACGACTCTCGGCGCGGCTGCCACGGCTGCAACGAGAGGCACACGGGGACGTGGTCGGAGGGGAAGGTGAGATCGGTGATATCCCACGTCGTATAACATGTGGGGCTTAGGTCAAGGAGATCGGGAGTAGAGATGCTGCAATAAATTATGTCCAATCTTCCAAAGGATACTGATTCACGAGGATGAGTAACGACACGACGATGTGCATACTGTGGTTGCTCAAGCTCAGCGCGTTGAGGAAAGAGAGAGCGAAACAGAGCGGCACGCCTGGCGGGAACGAAGCGCTCGGTCCCTTGAGTAGCATTGAACCTACCTTCCCCAGACTCGTGACAATTGAAGTCCCCAGGGATAAAAGACGTAGTGTTCAGAGCGGGTCTCAGGATGGATTTTACAGCTTGGAATTGTCGGCGGACCGCGGGGTCAGGAAGTGCGGGATCAATGTGTGCATTGACGATTTGCAACTCACCCTTGGGACCACTCAGATTCAGAACCGCAACCCGGCCCGGCACTGGCTCGCGGAACTCGGAGAAAGGGAAATCTCTCAGCAACTCGGTGGAGACAAAAATGAGAAGACCACCAGCACTAGCACGTGAGCAGAAGGAACCAAAGACGGAGTGATACCTGAATTCTCGCTCAAGATGAGGCAGATCCCCTGGGGCACCATGAGTTTCCTGAAGAAACGCAATCTGGTTTCGCTGTAAGATGGCTTGAAGCTTATGAAACTTATGTTGAACACGAATTTGATCGGCGTACATAGACCCAATAAGGGCCTGGGAATTCCACGTCGTAATCCGAAACGAAGCGCCAGGTAGGTAGTAAGAACATTTGGAGGAGGGGGGCGGACAAACCGATGCATCTGCTCTACTGCTGGCTGGAGGCTGAGGGGGGCTGGAGGGAGCGCAAGACTGGGCACAGCAAACCCCGCGCACTGCCAAGCCTGGGCTCAAAAAAGCTACAGAATCGAGGTGCCCTTCAGCAGCCGTTCAGAGAGCGGCGATCAGGGAGTCGATCTGGTCCTTCGTGATATCGAAGTGCAGCAGGCTGTGGTAGATGGGCTCGAGCTTGAAGGTGTCCTCCCCCTGCGGCACTGCCTGCGCTAACTCGTAGACGTCGTCGTCTGTGATCACTTGCAACACTCCCTTGTGCCCGTTGACACCGAGCTTCGAGCCACCTGTCCACTTCTGGCTGGTCTGGAGCTTAGTGAGCACGTCGCAAAAGAGTCCAGGGAAAGCCCTATTCTTCTGGCGTGCGTGGAGCGGCAAGTCGCCCCTGACCCTGAGCGGGTACTTCTTCCCTTCGCGGAAGTCCACCCACTCCATGTTCACATCGTTCATCTTGGTCTGGAAGCTCTTCGCGTCGTCGTCGTTCTCGAACCTCAGCTTGTAGACCTGGCTTACTCAGTGGAAGATGGCAGTCACGCGCTTGTCGTCCTTCAGCTCGGGGAAGTGGTCCTGCATCTGCTTCCAGTGCGCCTGGCGAGTCTTCATCAAGAGCGGCCTCGGAAATGTCCCCACGAAGCGGATGCAGGGATCGCTCTCGAGGTCGATGACTGGCGAAACTTTCCTGGCCTTGTCACCGTTGAACTGGCGGATGGGCGGGCCACCCACGGGAGACGACTGAAAACTGCCTGTAGACCGTGAACTGCCTGCGACACTGCCACCAGACTCCAAGGCGGCAAGCCGTAGTCCTTGGGATTGAAGATCAGCACGAAGGGCCTTCAGCTCGGCACCCTGAGTGGAGATCTGCCCCTGCAGACCTGTCACTGCCGTCTGAACCACCTGCTGTACCACTTCTCGAATGCAAAGCTTCTGCTTCTCGAACATGGCCTCGAGGGAAGCCTGCAGCGCTGGGTCGATCGCCATGGCTGCTGAAGTGCGGGGCAGGAGAAAACAAGGATCGCAATAAACGTGAAACAATGTGAGGCCTATCCTCGGGACGCTCGGGCCAACCCCTTGGCAGCGTCCAAGCTCGAAGCGCCAGGGCAACGTTTCGAACTTGAGCCAAAATGGCTACGGAAGGACGGGGAGGAGGAGGAGCAGGAGGAGGAGCAGGAGGAGGAGGCGGAGGAGGATTTGGAGGATGATGATGAGGAGGGGGAGGAGCAGTGGGGGGAGGAGAGGGGTGGGGGAGGATAAAAACGAAATGAGGAAGGAGAAGGAGAGAGCATAATGATAATGATGATGATCATGATGAAAATGATGACGGCGATGATGATGATGTGGAGGAGGAGGGGGAGGATGATGTTCCGCTTGCGCATAAAACCATGGGGTCTTCGTTGGAGTTGCAGGCCCGCTTTGGCACGAGTCGGCGGACAGAGAAGAAACGCCGCAATGGGAAAGGATGGGTGGGAAGGGTAGGATGTCGGACATGGCGCGAGCGCGCCTAGCTTGCCCTCTGCCACTCTGTCCTGTGCCCCTCCTGCTCCTCCTCGCGCATACTCCCTCGTCCCTCCTTCCCCTCCTCCTCCTTCATCCACCCACCGCCCTTCTTTCAACTTCCCCCCTCCCTTTCTTCCTCCTCCTCCGCCTCCTCCTTCCTTCTCGCTCCTCTCCCTTCCCCTTCCGCTCACCCTCGCCCTCGTCCTCGTCCTCCTGGTCCTCCTCCTCCTCCTCCTCCTCCTCCTCCTCCTCCTCCTTCTCTTTCTCCGACTCCTACTTCCCCTTCGCCCCATCCAAATCGCTCCCTGCACGTGTCCTGGAGCGCATTCTGACCCGAATTTCGAAGAGGGTCTAGCCGCGGCGAAGAGGGCCCGCCAAGAGGCACACGAAGGGCAAAGCACGAAGACCTCCTCCTTTTTCTGTCCTCCTCGCTCGTCCTCCCTCCTTCCTTCTGCCTCCCTATCTCCTCGCTCATCATCCCTCTTCACTCATCCTCCCTCCTCACTGCTCCTCCTACTCCTTCTCCTGTTTCCTGTCTCTTCACTCTCCCTTTCTCCTCCTCCATTATATTCCACTCCTCCTCTTCCTCTCCCTCCCTCTTGGCAATCTGCACGGGTTCCTTGATCGATCAGCTGAGGTGGGGTTTACCACCACCCGCCAGGTGCTGAGGAAGGATGCCCAGCCTTGCGCCCGTTGTGGCGAGCGGGGGCGCATCTCTCCTCCTCCTCCTCCTCCTCCTCCTCTCCTCCTCTCCTCCTCCCCTGTCCTACTAACCCACCTCCTCTCCCCTCCTCCTCCCTCCGTTTTCCTGCTCCTCCTCCACCAAGCCAAAAAACGTACAAATGATCCCCAGACCCGTCGTGGGGTGCGCCCCAGCCAGGGCTTCGAGGCGGATCCGGCCCGCGGCGACGAGAGCGCCCGAGGAGGATTGTCAGAGAGAGAAATGGGGAAAGATTGAGGGTCCTCGCCTCCATGACTCTCGACTACACGCGAGAGTGACCCTGGGTAAGGGTGACATTCGATGCGCGGCTTTTTGGGGGCCGCGGGGGACCAAACACAAGCGCGCAAGACGCTACTACTGCACCGCACTCGGCGATCGGGGGGCCCCATTGGACCGGCACCAAAGGTCACTCCAGCGAAAGGTCACGCTTACGTGCAGTCGAGAGTAAGGGGAGGCTTGAGGGTCCGCGCCTCGATGAATCCGATCCTCGAGCCCAGCCCCTCCTCCCTCCGCGCGCGGGGGCGCGGAGGACCACGACGGGACGCCGCGGCGTCCCGCGCCTGCGTCGGTGTCCACGGGCTGGCCGCCGCGAGGCACGGGGAGGCCTGGCGGCGCCCAGCTGGGCTCTCGCCCCCCGCCCCCCCAGTGTGATGCTGCCGCTCCCGCCGCGCCCCTCGGAGCTGATGTTCCTGCTGCTGCCGCTTCTCCTCCTCCTCCTCCTCCTCCTCCTCCTCCTCCTCCTCCGCCTCGGGTCCTCCCCCGCCTCCTCCTCTTCCTCATCCTCCTCCGCCTCCTCCTCCTGCTCTTCCTCCTCCTTCTCCTCCTCCTCCTCCTTCTCCTCCTCATTCTCCTCCTCTTTCTCCTCCTCCTCCTCCTCCACCCCTCCACCTTATCCTGCTCCTCCTGCTCCTCCTCGTCCTCCTCCACCCCTCCTCCTTACCCTCCTCCTCCTCCTCCTCCTCCTCATCATCATCATCATCATCATCATCATCATCATCATCATCATCATCATCATCATCACCATCACCATCACCATCACCATCATCATCATCATCATCATCATCAGCATCATCATCATCATCATCATCATCATCATCATCATCATCATCATCTTCATCATCATCATTATCAGCATCATCATCATCATCATCATCATCATCATCATCTTCACCATCACCATCACCACCATTACCACAATCATGATCATCATCGTCATGATCAGCATCATCATCATAATCATCATCATCAGCAGCATCACCATCACCATCATAAACATCATCAGCAACATTAGCATTACCATCATCATCACCACCATGTTCAAGAAGCCTCCTCCTCCTCCGCCTACTTCTCCTCCGCCGCCTCCTCCTCCTCCTCAGGTCCTCGTCCTCCTCTTCCTCCTCCTCTTCCTCTTCCTCGTCCTCTTCCTCCTTCTCCTCCACCCCACCTCCTCAGGTCCTCCTCCTCCTCCTGCTCCTCCCCCGCCTCCTCCTCTTCATCATTCTCGTCCGCGTCCTCCTACTCCTCCTCCTCTTCCTCCTCCTTCTCCTCCTCCTCCTCTTTCTCGTCCTCTCTTTTTCCTCCTCTTTCTCCTCCTCCTCTTCCTCCACCCCTCCTCTTTATCCTTCTTCTCTTTCGCCTCCTCCTCCACCCCTTCTCCTTACCCTCCTCCTCCTTCTCCTCCTCATCATCATCAGCAGCATCATCACCACCATCACCAGCACCATCACCACCACCAGCATGATGATGATGATGATGATGATGATGATGATCATCATCATCATCATCATCATCATCATCATCATCAGCTGCATCATCAGCTTCATCATCATCATCATCATCATCACCATCATCAGCATCATAATCATCAGCATCATCATCACCATCGTCATCATCAGCAGCATCAGCATCAGCATCAGCATGAGCATCATCATCACCATGTTCAGGAAGCCTCCTCCTCCTCCTTCTCCACTCCGCTTCCTCCTCCGACGACTACTAGGAATAATCTTTCAATACGCAATACACTATCTCAGGTCCTTCGTCCTACTCTACCTCCTTCTGACCTCATCAATCCTCCTCCCCTCCTCACTCCTCCTCCCCACCCTCTTCCTCTTTCCTCGTCCTCTTACCTCCTCCTCCCTCTCCTCCTCTCCTGCTCCACCCCTCCTATTTCTCCTCTTTCTCACTTTTCCCGCCTCCTCTCCTCCTCCGACCCCTGTTTCCCCTCCCTCCCTCGCTTTCTCCTCCTCCTCCCCCCACGTCCCCCCTCTCCCTCCTCTTCCTCCTCCTCCTCGGGAATGAGGCGGATCCCAACCACATCGGACCGATCCCGAACCACTTCGAGCGGATTCCAACCACTTGGGATCCGACCGGCTACATCGGGCGGATCCCATCCACATCGGGCGGATTCCAACCAGTTCGGATCCCAGACACCAAACACCAGACACCACACATCAAACATCAAACCCCAAATACCAAACACCAGACACCAAACACAAAACACCAGACACCAAACACCAAACACCAGACAACAAACACCAAACACCACACACCACACACCAAACACCAAACACCACACACCAAACACCAAACACCGGACAGGGTCGCCCAGCCAGCGGGCACCGACGGTGCGGACATGTCCGTGTGCCGCAGGGGCATAAGCGCTTGGCAAGGCGCTCCCGCGCACCTCGGCAGCCCCTCCCCCTGACGAGCGGGACGTGCGCATCCGCCAGCTGACGCAGGAGTTGGCCGAGCTTCGCGGCGGCAGCGGCCCCGCCCAGAGGCGGCCTGCGGCCGGCTGAGTGGGGGCCATCCTGAAGCGGCCAGCGGCAGCGGACAGCGCCGCAGCGGCCCCTCCTTCGTTGCTCGGCGAAGCTGCGCCGCGCTGCGCCGAGGTGGCGAGGTCTGCGCGGCCCCGCGACCCGATGGCAGACATCTACGTCGACCAGCCAGCCGAGGGAGTGGCGGGCAAGGTGGAGGAAGCCGTCCTGGCATTTCACCTCGAAGTTCCGCGCGCCGCCACCATCTGGGCAGTCATCCAGCAGATGCGGGCCGCTTCGCGGATCACAGCCAGCCTGTTTAGGTCGCCAAAAGAATAACTATGACAACCCAGGCCTGACGGAGGGAAGGGTGGAAATGGAGGCCGGAGGAGGGGGGCTGGACGAACACGACAAATCAGGAGCAGGAGCAGGAGGGAAAGGAGGATGCCGAGAACACAGTACGAGAAGGATGAGGGAGGAAGGGGCAAGTGGAAAACACCAGAAACTTAGGAGGACACGTCGTAGTAGTAGTAGTAGTAGTAGTAGTAGTAGTAGTAGTAGTAGTAGTAGTAGTAGTAGTAGTAGTAGTAGTTAGTAGTAGTAGTAGTAGTAGTAGTAGTAGAGTAGTAGTAGTTAGTAGTAGGAGTGTAGTTGTAGTAGTAGGTAGTAGTAGTTAGTAGTAGTAGTAGAGTAGTCAGTAGTAGTCAGTAGTAGTAGTAGTATAGGAGTAGTAGTAGGAGTGAGTAGTAGTAGTGTAGATTAGTAGTCGTCTGTCGTAGTCGTATTCGTAGTCGTAGTAGTAGTAGTAGTCGTGTAGTAGTAGTAAAGAAGTAGTAGTTAGTAGTGCGTAGTAGTAGTAGTAGTAGTAGTAGTAGTAGTAGTCGAAATAGTAGGAGTAGTAGTAGTAGTAGTAGTCGTAGGAGTAGTAGTAGTAGTAGTAGTAGTAGCAGTAGCCGTCGCAGTAGTAGTAGTTGTTGTAGTAGTAGTAGTAGTAGCAGTAGTCGTCG